TAGTCGCCACCAAGCCAATTCAGCTTTATATTACTGAGACCTAGTTGCCACCTAACCTATTCATCTGTATGTTACTGAGACCTAGTTGCCACCTAGCCAACTCATCTGTATATTAGTGAGAACTAGTTGCCACCTAGCCAATTCAGCTGCATATTACTGAGACCTAGTTGCCACCTAGCCAATTCATCTGTATATTACTGAGATGTAGTTGCCACCTAGCCAATTCATCTGTGTATTACTGAGACCAAGTTGCCACCTAGCCAACTCATTTTATATTACTGAGACCTAGTTTCCATCAAGCCAATTCAACTGTATATTACTGAGAACTAGTTGCCACCTAGCCAATTCAGATGTGTATTACTGAAACCTAGTTGCTACCAAGCCAATCCCGCTGTATATTACTGAGACCTAGTTGCCACCTAGCCAATTCATCTGTGTATAACTGAGACCTAGTTGCCACCTAGCCAATTCATCTGTATATTGCAGGGACCTACTTGCCACCTAGCCAACTCATTTGTATATTACTGAGACCAAGTTTCCATCAAGCCAATTCAGATGTGTATTATTGAGACCTAGTTGCCACAAAGCCAATTCAGATGTGCATTACTGAGACCTAGTTGCCACCAAGCCAATTCAGCTGTGTATTAGTGAGAACTAGTTGCAACCTAGCCAATTCAGCTGTATATTGCAGGTACCTAGTTACCACCTAGCCAACTCATTTGTATATTACTGAGACCTAGTTTCCATCAAGCCAATTCAACTGTATATTACTGAGAACTAGTTGCCACCTAGCCAATTCATCTGTGTATTACTGAGACCTAGTTGCCGCCTAGTTAATTCATCTGTATATTACTGAGACCTAGTTGCTACCTAGCCAATTCATCGGTATATTACTGAGACCTAGTTGCCACCTAGCCAAATCAGCTGTAACTGAGACATAGTTGCCACCTAGCCAATTCAGCTGTGTATTACTGACACCTAGTTGCCACCTAGCCAATTCAGCTTTACATTTCTGAGGCCTAGATGCCACCTAGCCAAATCAGCTGTGTATTACTGAGACCTAGTTGCCACCTAGCCAATTCATCTGTATATTACTGACACCTAGTTGCCACCTAGCCAATTCAGCTTTATATTACTGACACCTAGTTGCCACCTAGCCAATTCAGCTTTATATTGCTGAGACCTAAATGCCACCTAGCCAAATCAGCTGTGTATTACTGAGACCTAGTTGCCACCTAGCCAATTCAACTGTATTTTACTGACACCTAGCTGCCACCTAGCCAATTCAGCTTTATATTACTGAGACCTAGTTGCCACCTAGCCAATTCAGCTTTATATTGCTGAGACCTATATGCCACCTAGCCAAATCAGCTGTGTATTACTGAGACCTAGTTGCCACCTAGCCAATTCATCTGTATATTACTGACACTTAGTTGCCACCTAGCCAATTCAGCTTTATATTTCTGAGACCTAGATGTCACCTAGCCAAATCAGCTGTGTATTACTGAGACCTAGTTGCCACCTAGCCAATTCATCTGTATATTACTGACACCTAGTTGCCACCTAGCCAATTCAGCTTTATATTACTGAGACTTAGTTGCTCCCTAGCCAATTCAGCTGTGTATTACTGAGACTTAGTTGCCACTAGCCAATTCAGCTCTGTATTACTGAGACCTAGTTGTCTCCTAGCCAATTCATCCGTATATTGCTGCGACCTAGTTGCCACCAAGCCATTTCAGCTGTAAATTACTGAGACCTCGTTGCCATCTATCTAATTAAACTGTATATCACTGTGTCCTCGTTTTTATATTCAACGTATTGTCTAATTGTCGTTTTATAGATATTTAGATAAATTATGGGGAGAAAAATCGACTAGCTCAACACGGGGAATCAACTTTCTCAGCAGCAAACTTAGCAATGGATTCGATATATTCTTACCTTTTCACATCAGCCGAGAATTTTAGCCCAAGATGTTCAACGAGTTACTCTCCTGGAGGTTAGCATCAGCCATGCAAATGGGAGACAGATGGGGCCACTCAGCTGATTAAATAGGGTGGGGTTTCTTTTTGGAGGCGTTAAAATTACTTTACCCCAGTTAACAACAGGCTATCGTTCCTTTTTTGCGGTTAACTGCTAATATCGTGAAAAGAGTAAATAGTTGTGTTATCAGCATATATGCCGAGTTGAGAGTTGATGACATCACGAAGGTCATTGATTCAAATTAGGAACAAAGTAGGTCCGATGGTAGAACATTGTGAGACTCATGCGTTATTACAAAAGGATCTAGAAGAGTTGGCGTTAAGGGCAACTTTCATTTCGCGATTTGATAAGAAAGACTGAATTCATTCCAATATTCGTCCAGAGACTCCGTAACCTTTCAAACTATGAAGGCGATCGGTATGACAAACCTTGTCAAACGCTTTCGAGATATCCAAAGCCGTAGCCCGAGCTTCACTATTTTAATATCAAGCTTGATAGACTCTTTAAGCAGTAAACGCTTGCATCAGCAGTAAACCTAAAGAAGCGAAAGTCATATTGCTTGTGTAAAAGAAGGCCATGAGTTATGAGATGCTTAACCACTTTTTTTTAGAGTCTGTAGTAGTTTAGCAAAAAGAGACCGTGTGTACGTATGCACGTATGTGCAAATTAGATTTTACCAGCGACGAGCCGAGAGAAGAGACATTACGTGAATGCAAATTCATAATAAATTCATTTTTCTTTTAAATTCAAACATTGTTTTTCCTTCGATTTTTTTAAGAGCAGAAATCAGAAAATTACAGCCAATTGTCTCCTGGGTCCCCTGCATGTGAAAAGCTGGTATGATGTCGATAAAAAAAAAAGCAAAACATCACAGGAAATTGATTTGAAAACCATAATCCTTGATATGCCAGCAACCTTCTGTACCAATTAACGACAAATCCGTATTAGTGTAGGGAATTATGTTCCAGGATGAGGCTGGCTTTAGTCACAGTTTCTGACGTCATCTCGCTAAACCCTACCGAGAAAATGCGTAAAATACTTTTAGGGGGAGGAAGAAAATTCCTATTGTTTTTTTTTTTTTTTTTTTCTAAAGCGAAATGACTTTTCAGCAACCACATGGAGCCCTTAATTTGATCTTGTTATAAGGGGCGTAAATCTTTTAACGATAGATCTGTAATGAGCGCAGATAATGTTTCCAAATGGCGCCGCTTTGATGTCAAGATGGCGTCGCTTTGATGTCAAAATGGCGGACATTGTTTGAGCGAAACACTCTGTAATAATGAATAAAAAAAAAGCAGACTAAATGCCTAATTTGTTCATATTCAAATCGTCCTTTAAATGAAATTAACAATAATACATGCTATATTTGCCTGCACGTTTCGTAGCTGGCACCATCGGCGCAGTAAGGATGCTAATGCTCTGTGTCATGTTCCACTAATGAATACAAAGTAATAGCCAGGTGTATCAATTATAAGGATGGAATCAATTATAAATTATTGTACTGTCAAATTCATATAATGTTTAATATGTATTAACCAACCTTACAAAAAAATAAAGAAATTGATAAAATAATCAATAAATAAAATAATATATATATTTCTATATATATATATATATATATATATATATATATATATATATATATATATGTAATGTAGATAGACCCAATTCATAGCAGACGGTCATGAATACTTCTATTTATTGTTTGTTTTGTTTTCCTTGAATTAAAATCTCTTTTATATATATATATATATATATATATATATATACAGTGTAACCGGATATAAGACCCAGATATAAAGAAACCCGGATATAAAGAGATTTTCTCTGATCCCAAATTAGAGCCTGTGTTAATGCATATAAATTAGACCAAACACGGATATAAGAGAAACCCGGATATAAGAGACTTCTTCTCCGGGCCCGACAACTCTCTTATATCGGGTTGCAATATATATATATATATATATATATATATATATATATATATATATATATATAGAGAGAGAGAGAGAGAGAGATGGAAAATATATATAGATTGTTATGTAGCAAAAAGTATAATTTGGGAACTTCGACATGGTGTAAGGGTAAGTAAGCTTATCTTTTCTAGATCAATTACAACTGAATAGTGAGTTCGATCCTCACTGGCTGCACCAAACTCCGGCCCTGTGCCACATGTAAGCTACGATTTGAAAAACATATGTTCACTTTTATATTTACATACGCTCTATCCGTGATATGGAACACTTTATCCCATAAATATAGCACATCTTATGACTATATTTCTTCATATATATATATATATATATATATATATATATATATATATATATATATATATATATATATATATATATATATATATATATATATATATATATATATATATATATATATATATATGGAAAGGGTATATAGATTGTTATATAGCAAGTACAATTTGGGAACGCCGACATGGTGTAAGGGTTAGTAAGCTTATCTTTTCTAGATCAGTTACAACTGAATAGTGAGTTCAAACCTCACTGGGTGCACTAAACTTCGGCCCTGTGCCACATGTAAGCTACGCTTTTTAAAAACACTTGGGTACTTCGATTGCCTCGCTAGACCAATTACGACTGTGTAAGGTGTTTCATCCTCACTGGATGCCCCATAATTTTAGTCATCTACCGTAACTAAATAAATCTCTATCAGGAACAATGTTTAAGGTACCACAAAACACTTACGAAAAATTTAGCTTACCATGGTGAAAAAATGCTCCAAACATAATAAAAAAAACAACGTATAAATTTAAAATGTTTCTGTTATTATTGCGAGGAAAGACGATTTTTTTTTATTAAATTATATTTTTCTATCCTTCAAAATTTTGCTTAATTTTTTTTTTTGCGTCAAAACAGTAACCAATGATTAATTTAGGAAATTTTTAGCGTCATTTTTGTTTTGAAAAACATATTGATCTGGATATTATTGCAAAAATCAAATAATTGTCATATTTTAACAAAACATCCAGGACTCAAGATAAAAGATCACACGCATAGATGAACAGAATAAAAATGATGATTATTTAATAAGTACGGTTGAATCAAGACAATTTGTGAGCTGCAAACGAAAGAAATCATTTCGGTGGAAGAAGAAATGGGTGGAAGAAGAAATGAGCGGAAGAAGAAATGAGCGGATGAAGAAATGGTTGGAAGAAAAAAAAATGAGCGGAAGAAGAAATGAGCGGAAGAAGAAATGAGCGGGAGAAATGGGTGGAAGAATAAATGAGCAGAAGAGGAAATGAGCGGATGAAGAAATGAGCGGAAGAAGAAATGAGCGGAAGAAGAAATGAGCAGAAGAAGAAATGAGCTGAAGAAGATATGGGTGAAAGAAGAAATGTGAGGAAGAAGAAATGGGTTGAAGAAAAAAAATGAGCGGAAGAAGAAATGAGCGGATAAAGAAATGAGCAGAAGAGGAAATGAGCGGAAGAAGAAATGAGCAGAAGAAGAAATGGGCGGGAGAAATGGGTGGAAGAATAAATGAGCAGAAGAGGAAATGAGCGGACGAAGAAATGGTTGGAAGAAGAAATGAGCGGAAGAAGAAATGGGTGGAAGAAAAAAATGAGCGGAAGAAGAAATGAGCGGAAAAAGCAATGAGTAGAAGAGGAAATGAGCGGAAGAAGAAATGAGCAGAAGAAATGAGCGGAAGAAGATATGGGTGAAAGAAGAAATGTGCGGAAGAAGAAATGGGTGGAAGAAAAAAAAAGAGCGGAAGAAGAAATGAGCGGATAAAGAAATGAGCAGAAGAGGAAATGAGCGGAAGAAGAAATGAGCAGAAGAAGAAATGAGCGGAAGAAGATATGGGTGAAAGAAGAAATGTGAGGAAGAAGAAATGGGTTGAAGAAAAAAAATGAGCGGAAGAAGAAATGGGTGGAAGAATAAATGAGCAGAAGAGGAAATGAGCGGAAGAAGAAATGAGCAGAAGAAGAAATGGGCGGGAGAAATGGGTGGAAGAATAAATGAGCAGAAGAGGAAATGAGCGGACGAAGAAATGGTTGGAAGAAGAAATGAGCGGAAGAAGAAATGGGTGGAAGAAAAAAAAAGAGCTGAAGAAGAAATGAGCGGATAAAGAAATGAGCAGAAGAGGAAATGAGCGGAAGAAGAAATGAGCGGATAAAGAAATGAGCAGAAGAGGAAATGAGCGGAAGAAGAAATGAGCGGAACAAAAAATGGTTGGAAGAAGAAATGAGCGGAAGAAAAAAATGAGCGGAAGAAGAAATGGGTGGAAGAAAAAAATGAGCGGAAGAAGAAATGAGCGGATAAAGAAATGAGCGGAAGAAGAAATGAGCGGAAGAAGAAATGAGCAGAAGAAAAAATGGTTGGAAGAAGAAATGAGCGGAAGAAGAAATGGGTGGAAAAAGAAATGAGCGGAAGAAGAAATGGGTGGAAAAAGAAATGGGTGGAAGAAGAAATGGGTGGAAGAAGAAATGTATGTGATATTTTAAAGTTGGCTGAAAGGCAAATTTTTGTCTGATATGAATGTCCCTTTCAGATATCTGTGTTCAAATAAAAGTCTAAACATATGGGAAATGAAAATGAACTTTGAGAGATACACCGATTTCAATTCTGATATCAACTTTGTCTAAAGGGTTTGTTACAGTACAAAATACGCATAAAATCTGCAATGCCATGTAGAACAGGTCTCAATTCTCACATTATGTTATATTGATTTTAGAACCAAACCAGGAAACCTCTGAAAATTAAAAGAAATCTTTATCCCACTTTGTATGGCGGACAGAAGAAATGTCTCTCACCAAAATTTTGGTATTACGCATACTGTCAGTTGAAATTTAAAATATATATATATATATATATATATATATATATATATATATATATATTATATAATTCGATTTCTCAAGTTCACAGCTATTGCTTTTTCTAATATCAACCCCTATATAAAACTCATTTACAATGCATTCTTATAGTCAAAATATTTCCAATGCATACTTATACTAAATTCATTTATAATGCATTCTTTTAGTCAAATCATTTCCAATGCATTCTTATAGTAAAATATTTCCAAATTCTTATAGTTTTTCCAATGCATTCTTATAGTAAAATCATTTCTAATTCATTCTTATAGTAAAACCAAATCATTCTTCAATAAAACCATTTCCAATGCATTCTTATACAAAAATTTCCAATGCATTGTTATAGTAAAACCATTTCAATGCATTCTTATAGTAAAATCATTTCCAATGCATTCTCATAGTAAAATCATTTCCAATGCAATGCATTCTCATATAAAATCATTTCCAATGCATTCTTATAGTAAAATCATTTCAATGCATTCTTATAGTAAAACCATTTCCAATGCATTCTTATAGTAAAAATCATTTCAATGCATTCTTATAGTAAAACCATTTCAATGCATTCTCATAGTAAAATCATTTCCAATGCATTCTTATAGTAAAAACATTTCAATGCATTCTCATTTAAAATCATTTGCATTCTTATAGTAAAACCATTTCCAATGCATTCTTATAGTAAAATCATTTCCAATGCATTCTTATAGTAAAACCATTTCCAATGCATTCTTATAGTAAAATCATTTCCAATGCATTCTTATAGTAAAATCATTTCCAATGCATTCTTATAGTAAAATCATTTACAATGCATTCTTATAGTAAAAAAATCATTTCCAATGCATTCTTATAGTAAAATCATTTCCAATGCATTCTTATAGTAAATCATTTCCAATGCATTCTTATAGTAAAATCATTTACAATGCATTCTTATAGTAAAAATCATTTCCAATGCATTCTTATAGTAAAATCATTTCCAATGCATTCTTATAGCATTCTTATAGTAAAATCATTTCCAATGCATTCTTATAGTAAAATCATTTCCAATGCATTCTTATAGTAAAATCATTTCCAATTCATTCTTATAGTAAAATCATTCCAATGCATTCTTATAGTAAAATCATTTCAATGCATTCTTATAGTAAAATCATTTCCAATGCATTCTTATAGTAAAAATCATTTCCAATGCATTCTTATAGTAAAATCATTTCAATGCATTCTTATAGTAAATCATTTCCAATGCATTCTTATAGTAAAATCATTTCCAATGCATTCTTATAGTAAAATCATTTCCAATGCATTCTTATAGTAAAATCATTTCCAATGCATTCTTATAGTAAAATCATTTCCAATGCATTCTTATAGTAAAATCATTTCCAATGCATTCTTATAGTAAAAAATCAATGCATTCTTAAGTAAAATCATTTCCAATGCATTCTTATAGTAAAATCATTTCAATGCATTCTTATAGTAAAATCATTTCAATGCATTCTTATAGTAAAATCATTTCAATGCATTCTTATAGTAAAATCATTTCAATGCATTCTTATAGTAAAATCATTTTCAATGCATTCTTATAGTAAAATCATTTCCAATGCATTCTTATAGTAAAAATTTCATTTCTTATAGTGCATTCTTATAGTAAAATCATTTCCAATGCATTCTTATAGTAAAATCATTTCAATGCATTCTTATAGTAAAATCATTTACAATGCATTCTTATAGTAAAATCATTTCAATGCATTCTTATAGTAAAATCATTTCCAATGCATTCTTATAGTAAAATCAAAATTCATTAAAATCCAATGCATTCTTATAGTAAAATCATTTCAATGCATTCTTATAGTAAAATCATTTACAATGCATTCTTATAGTAAAATCATTTCCAATGCATTCTTATAGTAAAATCATTTCAATGCATTCTTATAGTAAAATCATTTCAATGCATTCTTATAGTAAAATCATTTCAATGCATTCTTATAGTAAAATCATTTCCAATGCATTCTTAAGTAAAACCATTTCAATGCATTCTTATAGTAAAATCATTTCCAATGCATTCTTATAGTAAAATCATTTCCAATGCATTCTTATAGTAAAAATCATTTCTTATAATTTCCAATGCATTCTTATAGTAAAATCATTTCAATGCATTCTTATAGTAAAATCATTTCCAATGCATTCTTATAGTAAAATCATTTCCATTGCATTCTTATAATAAAATAATTTTCAATGCATTCTTATAATAAATCATTTCTAATTCATTCTTATAGTAAAATCATTTCCAATGCATTCTTATAGTAAAATCATTTTCAATGCATTCTTATAGTAAAATAATTTCGAATGCATTCTTATAGTAAAATCATTTTCAATGCATTCTTATAGTAAAATCATTTCCAATGCATTCTTATAGTAAAATCATTTCCAATGCATTCTTATAGTAAAATCATTTCGAATGCATTCTTATAGTAAAATCATTTCCAATGCATTCTTATAGTAAAATCATTTCCAATGCATTCTTATAGTAAAATCATTTCCAATGCATTCTTATAGTAAAATCATTTCCAATGCATTCTTATAGTAAAACCATTTCCAATGCATTCTTATAGTAAAACCATTTCCAATGCATTCTTATAGTAAAATCATTTCCAATGCATTCTTATAGTAAAATCATTTCCAATGCATTCTTATAGTAAAATCATTTACAATGCATTCTTATAGTAAAATCATTTACAATGCATTCTTATAGTAAAATCATTTCCAATGCATTCTTATAGTAAATCATTTCCAATGCATTCTTATAGTAAAATCATTTCCAATGCATTCTTATAGTAAAATCATTTCCAATGCATTCTTATAGTAAAATCATTTCCAATGCATTCTTATAGTAAAATCATTTCCAATGCATTCTTATAGTAAAATCATTTACAATGCATTCTTATAGTAAAATCATTTATAATGCATTCTTATAGTAAAATCATTTCCAATGCATTCTTATAGTAAAATCATTTCCAATGCATTCTTATAGTAAAATCATTTCCAATGCATTCTTATAGTAAAATCATTTCCAATGCATTCTTATAGTAAATCATTTCCATTTTCCAATGCATTCTTATAGTAAAAAATCATTTCAATGCATTCTTATAGTAAAATCATTTCAATGCATTCTTATAGTAAAATCATTTCCAATGCATTCTTATAGTAAAATCATTTCCAATGCATTCTTATAGTAAAATCATTTCCAATGCATTCTTATAGTAAAATCATTTTATAGTAAAATGCATTCTTATAGTAAAATCATTTGCATTCTTATAGTAAAATCATTTCTTATAGTAAAATCATTTCCAATGGATTCTTATAGTAAAATCATTTCAATGCATTCTTATAGTAAAAATCATTTCCAATGCATTCTTATAGTAAAATCATTTCCAATGCATTCTTATAGTAAAATCATTTTCAATGCATTCTTATAGTAAAATCATTTACAATGCATTCTTATAGTAAAATCATTTACAATGCATTCTTATAGTAAAATCATTATAATGCATTCTTATAGTAAAATCATTTACAATGCATTCTTATAGTAAAATCATTTCAATGCAATAAAAATCATTTTATAGTAAATCATTTCAATGCATTCTTATAGTAAAATCATTTCCAATGCATTCTTATAGTAAAATCATTTACAATGCATTCTTATAGTAAAAAAAATCATTCTTATTTACAATGCATTCTTATAGTAAAATCATTTACAATGCATTCTTATAGTAAAATCATTTCCAATGCATTCTTATAGTAAAAATCATTTCCAATGCATTCTTATAGTAAAATCATTTCCAATGCATTCTTATAGTAAAAATCATTTCAATGCATTCTTATAGTAAAATCATTTCCAATGCATTCTTATAGTAAAATCATTTCCAATGCATTCTTATAGTAAAATCATTTCCAATGCATTCTTATAGTAAAATCATTTCCAATGCATTCTTATAGTAAAATCATTTCCAATGCATTCTTATAGTAAAATCATTTCCAATGCATTCTTATAGTAAAATCATTTCCAATGCATTCTTATAGTAAAATCATTTCAATTTCATTTCCCAATGCATTCTTATAGTAAAATCATTTCAATGCATTCTTATAGTAAAATCATTTCCAATGCATTCTTATAGTAAAATCATTTCAATGCATTCTTATAGTAAAATCATTTCCAATGCATTCTTATAGTAAAAATTTTCAATGCATTCCAATGCATTTTCTTATAGTAAAATCATTTCCAATGCATTCTTATAGTAAAATCATTTCCAATGCATTCTTATAGTAAAATCATTTCCAATGCATTCTTATAGTAAAATCATTTTCAATGGATTCTTATAGTCATTTCAAAATTATAGTAAAATTTCCAATGCATTCTTATAGTAAAATCATTTCAATGCATTCTTATAGTAAAATCATTTGCAATGCATTCTTATAGTAAAATCATTTCAATGCATTCTTATAGTAAAATCATTTCCAATGCATTCTTATAGTAAAATCATTTCCAATGCATTCTTATAGTAAAATCATTTCCAATGCATTCTTATAGTAAAAATCATTTCAATGCATTCTTATAGTAAAATCATTTACAATGCATTCTTATAGTAAAATCATTTGCAATGCATTCTTATAGTAAAAATCATTTCCAATGCATTCTTATAGTAAAATCATTTCCAATGCATTCTTATAGTAAAATCATTTGCAATGTATTCTTTTAGTAAAATCATTTACAATGCATTCTTATAGTAAAATCATTTGCAATGCATTCTTATAGTAAAAATGCATTCATTAAATCAATGCATTCTTATAGTAAAAATTTCAATGCATTTCTTATAGTAAAAATCATTTACAATGCATTCTTATAGTAAAATCATTTACAATGCATTCTTATAGTAAAATCATTTACAATGCATTCTTATAGTAAAATCATTTAC